CGCGACTTTTATAAGACGTATTTACGATTTCTATTTTGGTGGCTCGTTCACCCAGAGCATCCGGAGCTCTGCACCGTGGAGCCTAGCAACCTCCACGAGACCGTCTGTGTTGTCTGTCTGTAACTGCAACTCAATCAAGTTTTCCAGCCTGCACCATTGCCATCTCGGTGTAAGTAAACAATCTTTAAAACTACCACTACGCGTTTGTGCCTAATTCCAGCTCGAAGACCTTCCCTCTCCGACCCGGCATGCCCGGGCTGCTGGCCACAGCCCGCGTGCAGCGCGAAAAGGGCTCGGGTTGCTCCTGGCCCGCACAACTGCTACATCAGAGGAGTATATCAAGAACTCAGTGAACACCTGATCACCCGGGCACCCCTAGGGAAGACCAGGAGCAATGGATACAAACTCCTGGAAGGCCGCTTCAGGCTCAATTCCAGGAAAAACTGCTTCACAGTCAGGGTGTCCAGACTGTGGAATAAACTCCCTCCAGTGGTGGTGCAGTCGCCTACCCTGGAAATCTTCAACAGGAGACTAGACAATCACCTTGCTGGGGTCACTTGACCCCAGTTGTCTTTTCCTGCCTAGTGCAGGGGGACTGGACCCAATGATCTGCAAGGTGCCTTCTAGCCCCTAACAATCTATGAATCTATGACTGGCCATAGTTACCACAATCCAATTTCAAAAGCTAAGGTCACAGTCATTGACCAAGCAAAGACATTCTTGTCCAGTCAATCAGCATGGTGTGGGCATGGCCGGGCATAGAATTGTTGCTCGCAGTGGTTTTAGCTTGTGCCATGACCCAGCAACCAACCCTTCACAGCCCAGTACCAGGCCACAGATGGTGGTTGGGAATCTCTGTCTTAATAGACTCAAAGCACCCCTAAACAAATCTTGTGAACTGAGTAGCAACCCATTTCAAAAAATTATTTATTACAGTGCTTACTTCCTTGCAGATGGAAGCAGCAGTCTGGTGGGGACAGCAGTGGTGATGGGGAAAAGGCGAGGCAGGGATTTAACCTGAGCCTGCACTTATCTGCTTAGCTCACTGCACCTGGTTTATCTCTTCATACCTCATAGCACCCTTCAGAGGATCTTGCGAAACCTCTGAGCGCCCTAACACCCTGGTTGAGATTCACTGGTCTACAGAATTCTCCATGCTTCTGACTCTCTGTATGGGCCTATTCCCTATGTCCTGTAATGCCAGACTTCTTTATCCAGACACACACGCTGGGTAAACGAATATGTTCCCATACAAATCCTGTTAGCTGAAATAGGTTCTTCCCCATTCACCTGGGCCAAATTTGCTGTTCCTTTTGGTTAACAACTCATACTCCTTTCTCTATAAACTACCAATTTCTACTCCCTGGCACCTGGCCATGGCACCCCCATCTCCTCCCTAGTACATCTACAGGGACAAGTAACAACACATTATTTTCACAAATTCAATACAATGTTAACTATTTCCTTTATTCACAGAAATGTTCACCTAGCTAACCTCTGCGATTTTATCTACCTTATGAAATGGGCCTATTCAAAACTTCAACTTCGTATTATTGCCCAAAGGTAGATGAAATGCTTAACTTACTATACAATGGGCATGTCTACACAAGACACTACTGCGCCATTGCTCATTTCTATAGCGTTGTAGCCTTGCCGAGCACGAACTATGACAGTGACACTACTGCGCAGTAGAATCTAAAAATAACCATGTGGCGATGGGACGGTGTATTAATGCCGGTTACTGCACAGTCATTTAGTACTTGGTTAAACACTTAATTAAGTAACAACTGCAGAGTCCCCCACACATGTAAACATGTCCAATGGGTGTGTCCACATGTGAAATTAATGCAACTGAATAAACTTCAGAGTAGTTTGCAACAGAGTTTATTGCTCTCGGATGTGCTGTTTACACATGCACCAGGACTGCAGCATGTTGAGCCAGGGTGCAAAAGCCCCAGCTGGCAGGGGGCCCCAGGGGTCAGCCAGCCTAGGGCTGCTCCAACCCAGTTCAATGTGCTGAGGAGAATCTGGCTGAGGCACACCAGTGCTTCAGTGTAGGGCTAGCCAGCAGGCAGCCCCTGCACAGAAGCACCCTTGTGCCTCAGCCAGCCCCATCAGCTTCTATATGCGCATTGCTGCAGAGTAAATAACTCCACCATAGGCTAGTACTCGTGTCTGGTAGTACTATCCTATGGCAGAGTTAGTTAATTTACTCTGTTCTAATAGCACTGCACATGTAGATGGTGACATTTTATTACAGAGCTAATTAGTCAACTCCACAGTAAAGATGTAGATGCACCCAATGAGATTATTAGTTGATAAAAACCCATATACTATCAAGAAATACACTTTCAATATACAGTCACCAGCATACATATTACAGAATGGTGTGTAAAAAGTAATGTTATTGTATAACGTTATTTGCTGACCAATAGGGTTAGAAACACAGACTTAAAAATTTTATATACATTTTTCAGAAATCTTAATTGTGACAAATGGACTTTAATTTAAAGATAGCTTGATATGCAAAACATTCCTACCTGCATAATGTTTTAAAGATGCTGTCAAACACCTTATACCAGCTTCACTTGCAATAATTTAGCTTCAGTGATCATCCGAAGCAGCAAAGATTTCATTATTTTATATAATGCTATTATCTAAAGGCTGATTCTTATTTCAAACATCATTTGCACTTACATATAGCATTAATGATGCCCCCTGACAACATTAAAGTACACAAATTTTTAAGGGGCCTATAATCTTGCATACGCACACACTGCATCTGCAAATCAAACAGAGTCCATTATCCACCTACTCAGTTTGCACTTACAAATTTGGTAATTGTGCATCAAGATAATAAACAGCAAACAAAAGGACTATTAGTAGGGAGATCTATGTTTGGCAATAACTATTGTGGGATGGGGCTCTAAAGTGTGCATACCTATTTAGACCCCAGTTCAGGAATGC